AGTTGGCTTTAAATACAAGACTATCAGTTCAGTGGTATGCATTATTGGATTAGGAAGTATTCAAAAATGTTTCAGAAAGAAAGACAGGTTCGGGTAACAGCACATTGACCTAGCAAGCAAAGCCAGTCTTAGAAATGTTTTGTCTGAAAGATTATGTCAGATACCTGCTTGATTTCACACTAGGAAGCAGCAGATGGTTTGAGAACACATGGTACAGTAAGCTCTACTAGAGAAGAGAATTCACTACAATAAAGAGCACAGCATGCAGAATTTCCTCAAAATTAAACAAAATATTCACTTTAACAGGAGACTTTAAAGTAGTAGCCAGAAAGCCTTTAATCAACAGCACATTTGGCGAAAACTACCAAATACAATTTTAATAAAAGATATAGTACTCAGAATGTCATTCATACATCACTAAGTAATTCAGGTACGAAACGAGTAAAATACCTGTGGAGAACACGATACCAGTGCTCTTTCTGCTCCACATAACTGTAATGTAAAAAGTGAAAAAAAAAATTACACTCTTGAGAAAGCCAAAAATTTTTCACACTTTTTAAAATTATTACTATTTATCACAGTTTATTCACTTCGTATCCAGGCTCTGCCCCACCCCTAGTCCTCTGATAGAAGTGGTCCACCTCCCCTACTATCTGACCCTAGTCCATCAGGTCTCATCAGTCCAGGCTACCACTTTCTTCCTTTGGGGCCTGTCAAGGCTGTCCCACCCCCAACCAGGTGGATGTGACCAAAGAGCCAGTCTTCCTCATACAAATATTATAAGACAATTGCCGGCCAGGTTCCAGGTTCGGTTTGGAAGTTGAGCTGTCTGGAAAGTTTGGCGTGCTGTAGTCTGAGCTCAGCTGCTGTGTACTGTGAGGGGATTTCAGACGACTTCCAAAGTGACGACATGAATTCAATTATCTATGCTGATGTGAATGTGAACTTCACTCGGGAAGAATGGGCCTTGCTGGATCCTTCCCAGAAGAGTCTCTACAAAGATGTGATGATAGAGACCTACAAGCACCTTACAGCTGTAGGCTACAATTGGGAAGACCATAATATGGAAGAACATTATCAATCTTCTAGAAGATATGGAAGGAATGAAAGAAGACATATTTATGAGAAGCATTATGAATGTAAGCAGTATAGTAAAGCCTTTTCCCAACCCAGTGGTATCCTCATGCACAGAAGAACACATACTGGAGAAAAACCCTATGAATGTAATCAGTGTGGTAAAGGCTTTTCACAACATGGAAATCTGGAAAGGCATAAAAAAACACATACTGGAGAGAAGCCCTACGAATGTAGTCAGTGTGGGAAAGCCTTTTCACAATTGCATAGTCTCCACATTCATAAAAGAACACATACTGGAGAGAAACCCTATGAATGTAATCAATGTGGTAAAGCCTTTTCAAACCTGAGGACACTCCAAGTGCATAAAAGAACACACACTGGAGAGAAACCCTATGAATGTATTGAGTGCGGCAAAGCCTTTTCTCAACAGGGAATTCTCCAAATGCATAAAAGAACACATACTGGAGAGAAACCCTATGAATGTATTCAGTGCGGCAAAGCCTTTTCACAACACTCTAGTCTATACATGCATAAAAGAACACATACTGGAGAGAAACCCTATAAATGTAATCAGTGTGGGAAAGCCTTTTCACAGGTCGGTAGTCTCCACAGTCATAAAAGAATACATACTGGAGAGAAACCTTATGAATGTACTCAATGTGGTAAAGCCTTTTCACACCTCCGTACACTCCAAGTGCATAAAAGAACACATACTGGAGAGAAACCCTACGAATGTAATCAGTGTAGTAAAGCCTTTACACAGTCCAGTGCTCTCCAAGCGCACCAAAGGACACATACTGGGGAGAAACCCTATGAATGTAATCACTGTGGTAAAGCCTTTTCAAAACCCAGTAGTCTTCAAAGGCATAAAGGAACACATAATGGAGAGATACCCTACGAATGATATCAATATGGTAAAGCCATTGCGTGTAGTAGTGGTCTTCAGAGGCATGAAAGTATTCAAACTGCAAAAAAACCCTATGAATGTAATCATTGTGTTAAATCCTTTTCACAACCCTGTTGTCTCGAAGTGCATAAAAGAACACATATTGGAGGGAAACCATAAAAATGTAATCTGTGTGGGAAAGCCTTTTCATGAAATGGAAATCTCCAAAACAATAAAAGAACACATACTGGACAGAAACCCTGTGAATGTAATCAAGGTGGTAAAGCCTTCACACATTGCAGTGATCTCCAAAGGCATGAAAGATTTCATACTGGAGTGAAACCCAATGAATATACTCAACGTTGTAAGGCCTTTGCACATTGCTGTGATCTCCTAAAGGCTGAAAGATTTCAGACTGGAGTGAAACCCTATAAATATAACCAGTAAACCTTTTGCATGTCACATTTTTTCAAAGCCTTGAAAGAAACCTTTCTGGAGAGAAAACCTTGTGAATGTTTTTAGTATAACGAAACCTATGTACATTTCTATATGCTTCTCGTTCATGAATGAATCAGACTGAAGAAAAGCCCTAGGAATGTGTTTCATATGGTAACTCAAGGCGTTGTTTTCATGTTTCATAGAGATGTAATGAAGTGGTCTAATCAGTAATCAACTGCAACTCACTGCATAGCTTGATGTGATATGAACATGTATATATGATTGGACTTCTGTGATTCTGTATGTTCCTCCTACTCATCCATTTGTCATTTCATCTTGAAGTACTGCATTCTATACAAAATTTATACTATAAAGATTCTATATAATGTAACAACAAGGATATTTACTTAAAAAGAAACACTTCTGGTGTGTGCATGTGACAGGATTATGTGGTTTTAATCCATGTCAGATATGTAAAGAGTGGGGGACAACTTTCTTGCATATCATTTGGCCATCTTAATATGATGATTGAGGTCTGCTTTCCAGCTTTGGACACCAAAATCCTTTCGTAGATCTGTTTCCCTGATGCTCCAATAAGATTAGTTGAGATATTATATCGATAAAACATTGTCTTTTTTCACATTATAAAAATATTGTTATGTAATAAATGATGAATTCATGGCAATTTCAATGATAAAATTTGTTTGAAAATGAAAATGTGCAGCCAGTTCTCCTAGGCGCTG